CACAGGAGTCCACGTGACACCATCAGAACATGGAGGAAAGACTGTGTCAGCCCATGAGATCACAGGAGTTCACGTGACACCATCAGAACATGGAGGAAACACTGTGTCAGACCATGAGATCACAGGAGCTTACCCAACACCTCCAGAACATGGACAAAAGACCACACTGACCCAGGAGAGGACCATGGAAGCCCAAACAGTGCCTCTAGATCATGGTGAAAAGACTACATCAGCCCACAAGAAGACAACACAAATCTTATTAAAGTCCACACAACACCCAGAAGAGACCACATCAACCACAGATAAAACCACAAAGATCTCCAAAAATCCTATAATATACCCAAAAAAGACCACACTGATCCCTGAGACCACAAAAATCCTCATAAAATCTACAGAAAAAACAGCAGCAGCAGCAACAGTCACAGAGGCTACAGGACATACAGTCAAGACCGCGGGAGACAAATCAATCACTGTTACCTCTCCTCGTTTAAAGAAAACTGAGGTCTCCCATCAAGGGGCTCTTGGTTCTTTGACGCTCACCACATCCCGAGTGGACCAGAGGTCCACCACGTCAGAAGCCCCAGGCAGCAAGAGTCACCCACAGCAGAATAACAACGGCTCACAGACAGGCCCCCATGCTGGAGAGATGAGGGGAGAGGACTCATTCCCTGCGTGGGCCATAGTGGTTGTGGTCCTGCTGGCTGTGATTCTCCTGCTGTTGTTCATTGGTCTGATCTTGGTAAGGGACAGAGAGATGAGTCCATGGCTAGGGAGTCGGGGACAGAGGAGGCGTCAGAGTGAGGGAATAACGTGGTGGAGGTGGAGCTTGGTAATGGATGGGCCGTGGGGTGAAAATGAAGGGAAGAGGCGACGAATGCACAGAATGTGGAAGTTGGACTTGGGGAAAAGGCTTAGCCCAGAGGAAAGGTGTAAAGGAGAGAGAACCGGAGGGTGGGGATAAGCGTGCATGTGTGAGGAGGACAAGGTGTAAGGACAAGAACAGCAGGGGCCGGGAACCTGGGGACAGAATCCAGGCTGAGGGTGCTAGGGGCAGAGCTTTGCATGGAATCTTGGGAAAGGAGCAAAGCAAAAGGCAGGGGACAGAAAAGCAGAGTGAGGAGCGGGGGGCGCAGGGCGAGGAGAGCGGGGCGCGGCAGGCGGTTCTCACTCCTCCCTTCTCGTCCCCATCCCAGGTGCCCTGCCTGACTCGAGCCCGCCGTGCACTGAGCCGGCACGCTGAGGACAGTGACCTACGGGACCAGGAGGGCCCTAACTCCTACCCGGTCTACCTGATGGAGCAGCAGAATTTGGGCAGGGGGCAGATCCCTTTCCCACAGTGATCTTTTATTAGGCACCCAACCCCGGCTCTTCCAGGCTCTGCTGCTCTCCTGGATGATGAATTAGACCGCAATTCCTACTTCCCGGACTCCAGGAAGGGCAGAGAATACCCACAATGCACAGCGTCAGTCCACTGCCAGCCTTGTGCTTAGCGGAGGGACAAGTGGAGGGTGGGTGGTGATGAGGAAGGATGCAAGCTTTGAGGAAGGAGGAGAAATGATGGACCCAGCAGGCGTTCACTGCGAGGGAGAAGCTACTTCAGGGACCAGTGGGCTGGGGACCAGCACAGGTGCTGAGTACTGGGCTGCAGGAGGGGCTTCGGAAGCTCAGACGGAGCTGAGGGCGGGGACTTGGGGAAGCAGAGAAAACACAGACAGGGCTCCCTCGTTCCCAGGACTGATAGACATAATTTTTGTGTCTGAGTTCCCAGAATATTTGCCCTTCCTTCTTAAGTGAAACCAAACCAGGCCAAGGGAAGCCAAAGCAAACCAGGCTCCAAGCAGAAAAGAAGATTCTGTCTCTATCCTTTGGAGGAAGAAAGTCCTGGGATGATCGCCAGTGTCTCCCTTGAGCTGGCTCCTCTCTCCTCCCGAGCTGTTCAGCTTTCCAGACATCACGGTGGGTTTCCTGCTGGTTCGGGCGGAGGGCCGGGCTCTGCGTTTGGCTAGAAGTCTCCTGCAGCCCTTGAGGCCCCAGGCCTTCCCCGAGCCAGCCCGGGTTCACCTTCTTCGAGGCCGTCCTCCTCCTGTCCTCGCACCTTCGCCCCAGGCTCCGAGGTCCCCGCGTCCCCTCTGCATGTGCTGTCTGGGTTTTCTAAAGTGTGGCACCCTGTCCCCTATGACTGCTTGGGTAGAGGGGAAGGGGCAGAATGGAACATTTCCTTCTTTTGGATTTTTTAAAAAATAAAGTGCACTGTATTTATAAAGTAAGGGCTCAGCGGCCCACTGTTCAGGAGAAATGACTGTGTGTCTGGCTCTGGCTGGGACCTGCCGGCAGGGGGCAGGAGGGGCCGGCGACAGGGCGAGGGGCTCTGAGCACGGGAGGGACAGATGGCTGCATTTCCGCCGTAGTGGCTGTTTCCCCGTTCCATGAGAGCCAGCCTCTGTCTGTGCCAGTTTATTTGTATGATCAGCAGATGAGGGGAGTGTGTTGTTCAGTCGTGCTTTAAAGCCCCGGTTATATCCGCTGTTGAGGATATAGAGATGTGTGAGACATAGTTCCCATCTGAGACACGAATACAGGAAAATTAAAATTAAGTAACCCACGACGGTAGTCACAGGAAGTACTATACAAAATAAAGCGGACCCCGTCACTAAACCCAGTATCTATGAGGCTCTCCCATAGCTGTGTTTACGTGAGGACCCAGCCCTGCTCCGAAGCCCCTCCATGCTCATGCGGTGGTCCCAGCCGACCCCTGCCCACCACCCACTCAGCCTGGCTCTCGCTCCTAGGGCAGCACCGTCACGGACAGGAAGGGCCAGGCTGCCACACACAGGCCTCCCAACCCTGACTCCACCTGGAGTCCAACAGCAGGGCCGCTGGTCATTGTTTGCTACTTTGGGTGTCCCACGTGCAGAAAGTGGCGCACCTATCCCAGTCCCTGCCCTCTGCCTGACGTGGACCTGCCGGGTTCTCTGCTCTGGCTGGGCTTCCTCAGGCCGGGGGTCTCTCCGCGTCCTCCTCCATTGGGGACAGGCCCTGTCTCACAAAGGAGGTGCCAGGCGCCAGCAGGACCCCAGACAGGTTCGTGGAGACCGATGGCCTGGGCACAGGAGACATCTGGGTGTGAGTAGCCTGAGGGAAGCAGAGGCCCGGCTCTTGCTGTCTGGGCAGATGGTGGCGTGTGGCAGCTGCTGTCACATGCCCCGTGGCAGGGGCTGCGGGACCCCTCACCCTAGCCCCTAGCTGTTGAGTTTCCTGAGTCTGGACTTAACTTTTAAAACGAAAAACCCAGCCAACAGCCAATAACAAAACCCAAACCCACCTCTGCCTCTGGAGTCCTAAATCCTAAACATCAACCTCCCCTGCGGGCACCGAGATGGAGCCCTGGGGACAACGTGGGGGGTGGGGGAGCCTCTTCTGGCCCACAGGGACTCCCCTCTGCTAATTACCACTGGGAAGTCTAGGGGAGCCCTCTAACATGGCCCGCGGCGCCCTCATTAGGGACGATCACTCCCACAGGTGGGGAGGGGCCCCTCCCCGCTCACAGCCGTGGGTCCCTGCGCCCAGCTCCGGGAGGTGACCGCCCCAGTGGGACCTGGAGGGGACGCAGGAGCAGCCGGCTTGGGTTTCGGAGTCTGCAGCTCCTCCTTGCCTCCACCTGGAGGGCGACCCGATTTCCCCGGGGAGCAGCCCGGCGACTGCACCCCGCGACTCCTGGCTCTCCTGAAACCATGGTTTTGCTCCATCTCGCCCTCGGCCTCCCTCATCCATCTACTAAAGCCTGGACTGTGCTGCCCGGCGAAGGGTCAACCCCGCCCCGCCCGGCGCCCTGCGCGGAGCTGCTTGTTCTCCCCACAGCTCTACCGCCCCTGCTCCTCGGGCACCCAGGCCCACGTCAGGCGCCGCCAGGTGGATGGGAGGCTGGGGGACGCCGAGCCACACGGCGTCTTCTTCCTGAGTCCAGGTCACCTCTTCCAGTTCCTTGAACGTCCAGGCTTCTCTTCTGGCCACAGCGGGTGGCGTCCCTGCCAGCGTGGTCAGCTGCTGATACGCAGGAAGTGGGGAGCTCTGTCGTGCTCTCCCAGTGCCCACCCCCCTGGAGACGAATGAATGACTGCAGTAAGAGCAAGACCCAGCAATCAGGACCTGGTCACCTTCCTACCTTTCCCCTCTGCTCCTGTAGAGGCCTCTACCGCGAAGTGCGGCATCCCCGGAGGACACAGGTGTCTGCGGGCCCCTGGCCAGCGAGTGGCTCCTCTCCCCAGCAGGGAGCCCCTACTCTCAGCCTCCCTATCCTCCCGCGCGTTGCCAGGGAGATGAGGGAGATGGCCTCAAAGACACACGAGGGACCAGGAGTTGTAGCCCAGTGGTAATGATCAGCGCCACAGGTAAGGCCAAGCAGGACCAGAAATTAAGCCGACGGCCAGTGGGACCTGGCCCAGGGCCCTGCTGCCCAGAACCTGCCCTGACGGCCTCTCTCCCACAGCCCCTGGCTGCAAAGGTGAACCCAGAGAGCAGCTGCGCTCTTTCCCGCATAATCCTGGCTGTAAGGGCTGCTTGGTGAATGCTTTCTACTGAAGCTGAAAACCTTAGTTTCAGTATCTTCCTTAATTCCGTGTTAGAGCTCGGCTCGAAGCCTACGGACAAGCAGATGAAAAGGCTCCCTTCAGAAACGCCGCCGCGGTCCAGCCCTCGTCCTCACCCCCAGTGGAGATCTGTGGGGGTGGGGGGAGGGAGCCCCAGGCCTGGGCTTGGGACCTGGGCGTGGAAGTGGCCTGCAGAGAAGCTCCCACCATCTGCCCTCACCACCCCTTCAGAGTTTAAAGCTTTCCTTTGTACCATAAGCCCCATCCCACCACCTAGGACGCGCCTCACTCCGGAGTAAGAGGGATCACTGCAGGACAGTGTGGGAGGTGGACGTGGGGGGTCACACGGACAGGCAAAGAGCAGGGCGGGAGCAGGAGGCTGCCTGCTCCTCCCTTCAGTTGCTGGGATTGAACCCAGGGAGTCTTCGTCCTGGGTCTTCCCTCACTGTCTCCCAGGCACCCCCAGGGGCCTGCCCGGTGCACCCCTTCCCCAGCTCCCCACCTGTCTGTGAGCCGGGCATCCTGGGTGGCCTCGGCTACCGTTGCACAGATGACCGCCGCACTCGTTCCAGCCTGCCCTTGCCCTGAAATTGGCCCTTAGTTCCAGGTGTCTCTCAGTGACAGCTTGGAGGTCACATCATCTTCGGCAACTTTTCTGAGCCTCTGTTCTGTGCTGGGTCTGAGGAAACCTGGGGAACAAAGCAGCGGCAGGTCGGGCGTGGGGAGCTCAAGTCCACAGGGAGGGCACCCACCAAGGGGGCCCCATGAGGAGACGGTGTGAAAAGGCGCCAGCCTCGCTTCCTGCCCCGTTTCCTCACCACCACATCTAACAAGTTATAAAATGTGCCTCGCTTACCGGGAACAACAATTTCTTGCTGTACTCACCGTTCAAGCTGACACACACTGCTTACAGGAGGGGAGGGTGAAGTGGAAAGTGACTGTTGTCTGGAAGGAGAGGCCCCTTCCTTAAGAACAGCAGGAATTGGCTCTCTGTGTCCTTTCTGTCCTTGGGGGAGTCTGTAGCCCACTAGGACCTGCTTCGGGCTCACTAGGTCACTACTTTTCCGAACTAAAAACTGGTCTAAGATTGTCTGTTTCTGTCTTTTCTTTAACACTCCTCTGCCGTATGACATGACCTTGTCATTGAACAGGTGAGCGCAATGTTGGCTTTCTCTGTCCAGCTTGGTCTTCTCTATAAATGTTTGTCGCTCTGTCCATTTTTTCAGGATTTCCTTGATTTCAGAATGGCTTTGGTGCATTGACTGTTGATTCTCCCCCTCCTCTTCACAAAGCTCCACAGCTGCGGTTCTCTGTTGCTCAGCCGGAAGTTGCTGAGGTTCCTCTGAGCGTTCCTCCACCAGTTCCTCAGCATCACCACTGTCCCCTGGCAAGCCTATGGCTCTGCTGTAGGCACAGTGTCATCAACCATAGGACCAATTGAAGCCTCAGGCTTCTCTGCACAGCCTTTAAAGTCTCTCTTCTGGCCAGGTGTGGTGGTGCACACCTGTAAACCCAGCACTCGGGAGGCTGAGGCAGGCGGATCGTTGTGAGTTCGAGACCAGCCTGGGCTACAAAGTGAGTTCAAGGCCAGCCTGAACTGCATAGTGAGACCCTGTCTCAAAAACACCAAAAATAAATAAATAAGTAAAAATAAAAATAAAGTCTCTCTTCTGTAGAATTTTAGGCCACACTTTCTTCCAAGAAGATCTCAGTGTCCTTAGAGAGTCATGGGCCCAGGATTTCTCAATTAACCTGACACAGGAAAGGATGTGCAGTGTTCCTTCCAGAACTCTTTAAGGCTTAAATCTGTGCCTGAGACCATCTGGAAGCACTTCAGGAACAGTTCCTTGGTGTATAGCGTTTTAAAGTTAGCTATGACCTGCTGGTCATAGGCTGCAGCAGAGGAGTTGTATGACAGCCATGGGAATTCTTCAGTCAGTTCTTCCAAATCTCACGGGTGAGCAGGAGCATTGTCCGTGATGAGGAAAGCCTGAGCAGTTAACCTTTGTCCTCTAGATATTTCTCAGTGGAAGGACAGAAAGCCTCCCTGATCCACACAAGAAAAAGTACTCTTGCTACCCAGGCTTTTGCATTAGATCTCCACATGACCCTTAGTCTATACTTCTTTTTTTTTTTCATTTTTTTTCCGATACTGGGAATCAAACTCATGACCTTGTGCTTGCCAGGCAGGCGCTGTGCCACTGAGCTAAATCCCCAGCCCCCTCTTAGTCTATTCTTTATGACTTTATGTTTTCTGAACACTATAGGGGTCTCAGAGTGATCAACCAAGAGACGCTTTACCCTGAGGTCACCACTCACATTGGCACATGGCAATAAGCTTAGCCTGTCCTTCTTAGGCTTGTGCCCTGGCATCTTCTTGTCTTCCTGGGTAATGTATGTTCTTCTTGGCATTTGCTTCCAGAAAGGCCAGTTTCATCACAGCTGAAAACTTCATGAGAGCAAAAGCCGTTCCTCTGTGTCATCATTTCAAAATGGCGTACATAACTTTCAGCAGCCCATTTATCAGCACTGGCTGCTTTACCATGTCTAGTTACACTCCGAACCCCAGTTCTCACTTTAAATTGTGAAACCACCCCTACTGGCACGAAATGTTTCACCATGATCACTTGTTGATGGATTATCCTTTATGAAAGCTGCATTTATAGCCCTAGTTTTTTCACAAATTATAGACTCAGGATAGGCCTATAGTGCATGCCAGTAATCCCAGCACTCATGAGGCTGAGGCAGGAGGATTGCCACAAGTTTAAGGCTAGTGTGGGCTACATAGTGGGTTCAAGGCCAGCCTGTCCTGCATAGCAAGACCCTGTCTCAAAAAACATTATAGACTCAGATAGGCTATAACCTGCCATCCGCCTTTTGTTTATCCACACTAGTAATAGCATTTCTACCTGTCTAACACTGTTGATCATGACTTACTAATTTGAGTAACACTTTTAGTGGCACTAGCTTCCTTATACAAATTTCTTCTTTGTAAGGTTGTCAAGATGGTGGATTTTAAGATGCTATACATATTAGCGAGATCACACAAATGCCACTCTCATATTTCTCCACAATTTCTTACTTTTGATTGTGATTGCTTTCTTTATCTCGCCCTTTTACCTTCTTTTCTAGCTTTTTGGGGTTATTTTGTTGTTTTTTGTTTTTTTTTTTTTTTTGGTTTTTCTCTGGTACCGGGAACCGAACTCACGACCTTGCGCTTGCCAGGCAGACACTTTTGCCACTGAGCTAAATCCCCAGCCCTTGGGGTTATTTTGATAGCAATAATTGTAGCGATTATATGAAGCACTGACTGAACTCACACCCACAGACGCATGTTCCTGGGCTCAGATTGATGCTTACATGTGCTTACATAAGCTTTTTTGGCATCATGAGTCTTTGTTTACAACAGCACAAGTAGCCGGCATTTGGGTCCGAACTCAAGACTTTGGTCATAAGTTAAACCTAAAGTTCCAGTCATAACCCAAGTTGTTCATAGGTGAGGCCGGTCATAACTCAAGGGTCCACTGTAATCATTTTTCTTGCTCTTTTCTCTCCTCCTCTGCTTTCTCCTGTTCCTCATTAAAATTTTCTTTTTAAAAGTTGTGTATGTGTGTGTGTGTGTTAGCTTCCCAGTATTATAGCAAAACACTTGCGACCCTCAGCTTACAAAGGGGAAAGCTGCAGTTTGACTCACAGTTTTGCAGCCCATGATCAGTTGGCCTTGTTTCTTTGGGCCTGTGGCAAGGCAGCACATCAGGGAGGGAGAGTATGGTGGGATAAACCTTCACGGTTTCATGGTCAGGAAAAGGGAGAAAGAAGAGGATACTGGGGTCCTGTGGTCTCTTTCAAAGACACAGCTCCAGTGCCCCAAGGGCCCACTGAGGTCCCATTTCCTAAGACTCCACCACTGCCCAGTGGCGCCACCCTGGAGACCGAGCCTTTAAAACACAGCACTCTGGGGCCACTCGCCCCAGCTGTCGCCTGATAAACCAGCATAGCATAAATTGGCCCTTTTGGAACCTGGGGATGCAGCATGCTGGTGGAGCACTGACCTGTACATATGAGGGCCTAGGGCTGATCCCCAGTGTTGAGAAAATAAAATTTAAAAAAAAGTTTGAGGAAATGTATCATTTCAACCATTGGGGCGGGGGTACTGGGAATCAAACTGAGGAACTCACGCCTGCCAGGCAGGTGCTGCACCACTGAGCCGTATCCCTGGCCCCTGTTTCAACCTTGTTAAAGTGTTCAATTCAGCGTCTGTAAGTGCATTCCTGTGGCTGCGTCTCCATTGGTGATTTCTTGATTTCGCCCCCTGCAGCCACCAGCCTTGGGCTGTGCGCCTGTGCACCGGCCTGTCGGGTGCTAGGAGCACAGGTCAGAGGGGAGAAGCTGCGCACCACACTTCGCCTATAACCAATTAGAGAAGTCTCAGTTTCCTACTAAACATTTCCCCTTTCTGAACAGAGCACTGCCTTTTGTACCCTGCTCCTGGTACCAGTGGCCTGCGCCCCTTGTTCTGACCATGCTCGCCTCTCCCAGTGACTGGAGCCACCTGTGTGTCAGGTTTTAACCACTTCTTTTTGAATTTTTTATTAGTGTATGTTTGCAGTATATAATAAACCTATTCAGCATGGGGTATCATGCAGACACATCTTTTCATTTGTTTGTTTGTTTTTGTTTTTCTTCCGGTACCAGGAATTGAACTCACAACCTTGCACTTGCCAGGTAGGCACTTTGCCACTGAGCCAAATCCCCAGCTCCAGTACAGACACATCTTGAAGCTTTTTATTTCTCCTTCCCTTCCCCTCTCTATCCCCAGACTCCCTTTCCATCTGACCCAGGCATATCTGTTGCGGCCTGATGCCCCCACCCTGCCTCTGCTGTATCAGAGTCATGAGCAGAGAGAGTGAATGGAAATAGGGCCACTGGGATTTTAGAGCGAGAGAGAGACAAGAGTACAGACAGACCCTGTGTCCTAATCCAATCAACTTAAGCACAGGAGCAAACCTATGGTCTCCTGAATTCAAATGAATTGTTCTTGCAACAAGGGAGGTGGGCTGGGCATAGTGGCACATGCCTATAATCCCAGCACTCAGAAGGCTGAGGCAGCAGGATTGCTGCAAGTTGGAGGCCAGCCTGGACCACATAGTGAGACCCTGTCTCCAGCAAACAAAAACATGGGCGATGGGACACAGAGGGACTAGGAGCTTCTCTGTGAATAAAGGAGTTTCACTATAGTTATTTTAGTCACTTTCCCATTGCTGGGAGAAAATACCTGAGACCGACAATTTAAAGGTGGCTCACGGGCCTGGAGGAGGAAGCTGCTCAACCCATGGCGAGAAGGAAGCAGGGAGAAAAGGGAGGAGCTGGAACAGGACCCGCCCTTCCTGGCCCCGCCCCAGTGACGGCCTCCAGCCCAGCCCCGCTCCTAACCCGCATTCAGCGGCCGAGCTCATCCGCGGAGGGGCTCACTGATGACACAGCGCCGGAGACCCAGTAACTTCTACACACAGGGGGCTTTGGGGACACTTAGGGGTGAGCGTAGCAATGGCACTGGGGAGAATGTGGCTTTTCAGAGACATTTAAATGCAGCAGGTTTTAGACAGGTTCAGAACAGAGCAGGGCCAACAGCAGCTGTAGCCTGCGAAGTTGGCTTAGCCACCTTCGAAATGACAAAGTTACAAAAAAGTGGGGCGCCGTGCTCAGAAACTCTGTGCCTGTCCCTGAGCTGGAAACGGATCTTCATTCTCCAGACACAGTGGAGATTTTCCTCTTACTGGTACAGCCGAGAGCAGCACAGGGGTGATGGGCTACGCTTGTAGAGAAATACATTTCCCATTGATCGAGTCACGGAAAGTGAGTAGGTCTATCCAGAAGGCTTGCTGTGATTGAGGCTTCACAGCTGCTGTTTGTCCTCAGAAAGCACTTCCCGCAGGAAGTCACAGCTGGCTTTACCTGTGTGGTCACCGGCCCAATGGGCAGCAGGGCAGGTGTTTCCTTCCTGTCCGATTTGTACTCTGACACAGCGCAATATAAAGACCAGGAAGAAGGAAGACAGAAAATGCAAATGAACCAAAAAGCAGGAAAAGAGAAAGAAAAGAAACACAGGAGGAGAGAAAGAAAGAAAGAAAGAAAAAAAGAAAAGAAAGAAAGAGAAAGAAAGGAGGAAAGAGAAAGAGAGAAAGAAAGAAAGAAAGAGAGAAAGAAAGAAAGAAAGAAAGAAAGAAAGAAAGAAAGAAAGAAAGAGAAAGAAAGAAGGAATGGAGAATTTGGTCTCAAGTGAGAGGGGTGTGTGTGTGTGTGTGTGTGTGCACGTGTGCATGTATGCACTTTCCCAGCATATAACAGAGAGCATACCATAAAGTAACTGGGAGCCGCAGCATTAGAGAAGGGATCTTTCAGAACAGACAACCTCAGGGCCTCAGCAGGTCTTTCACTTCCACGACAGGAACCGCTTCATCCTACTTCCGGGGCAAGGTGCTG